ACATGGATTTAGAAAACTCTTGTTTCGTTCTTAGTGGATCTAAGAACTACCCAACTTACGTATACATGGATTTAGAAAACTCTTGTTTCGTTCTTAGTGGATCTAAGAACTATCCAACTTACGTATACATGGATTTAGAAAACTCTTGTTTCGTTCTTAGTGGATCCAAGAACTACCCAACTTACGCATACATGGATTTAAAAAACTCTTGTTTCGTTCTTAGTGGATCTAAGAACTACCCAACTTACGCATACATGGATTTAGAAAACTCTTGTTTCGTTCTTAGTGGATCTAAGAACTACCCAACTTACGCATACATGGATTTAGAAAACTCTTGTTTCGTTCTTAATTTCTAAACTGGTCTGAAATAAGGGATAGAATTAAAGATTTATTCTTCATTACTATAAAAATAAATTATGCTAATATTGTGTCTCTAATAAATGACATTTCATTATTTTAATCTTTTGTTCTTAAAAAGTAAAAACGTTGCGCCCCCTTGGGTTTTACCGATGAAAATAGGTCATCCGTTAAGTGCAGAAAAGTGTATTGAACCAAGCCTAAAATACATTAAATATCGTTCCAAAAGTGACAAAAAGTGCAAGTTTACAATATTAAAAAAAATCATAAAAATAATGTTTCGAAAAGACATTCAAGTTCAGTCAATAGTATCTTGTTAATATTTGTTTCAGTCAACAGTGTCTTGTTAGTATTTATTTCAGTCAACGGTGTCTTGTTTGTCATCATTTGTGTTATTATCGACCTTCACTATACGAAAAAATTGCATGACCTAAATAATTATTTCTGTCAGTCTGGATTTAATTGGTCAGTAAAGTTTATTTCTAATTTTATCGATGAATCGGAGAACAAATTAGATGACAGGAAAGTGATTTTAAAAATGTGATATTTTTAAAGCTCAGAATAATATTACTGTTGTTAATTGTTGATGTTAAATTTACCGTTGACTCAAATAAATATTAACAAGATTGTTGACTGAAACAAATACTAACAAGACACTGTTGACTGAAATAAATACTAAAAGAAACCGTTGACTGAAATGAATACTAACAACACTGTTGACTCAAACAAATACTAACAAGACACTGTTGACTGAAATAAATACTCGAAGGTTGTGGGAATAGGTTTCTTCATCAGTAGAATAATACTTCGACCTTCAACGTTGCTAAACTAGATACATCAACAAATCAAAGCACATACTGTGTGCTATATGTCCTTCTCAGGAAAGAAATACCTGTTGTGACTTACACGCATGTTCTTGAACAACTGCAAAAATTTTTGCTTTTTGGTAACGGAATATTCAAAGCTCAAACACAAACAACACCTTTGTGTCCGAAACCTAACACAAACGCAATAAATTCCAATGAATAATTCACCGGTTAAAGTAACGATTAGTGGAAATTATATAAGGCCGTTTTTTCTTGTTTAAAATTTACCATAATTGGTTTTAAGCTTCCTATTGATAACACAACGGTTCCTAATTATTTTTAACAACCCTTCAAGCTCCGAATTCGATAAAGTAGGGCATTTTTTAATGGTTCTTAGAGCTGAGGAAAGTGATGTATTTATTGAAAGAATACAGACAAGGACACTGGAGGAAACAGCCTAAAAAGTAGACCACAGATATACCTGACCTATGACTTTTGTTGAACAAAAATATCTTACGTGATTGACATTCGAATGGTGACTTTCACGGTTCGTGTCATTGGCTTGCAACTATAGTGACGTAAAAAAAAAGCCGTTTCTTGCTGCTATAAAAGCTCACAAGCTCCTACAGCTAATACACTCAACCAAAGAACTTTGTTAACATCTAGCTTTGCTCTCTTTCTTAGCAAACTTCCAGCCAACAGAAATGTTCCACGTAAGCACACGGTCCTGTTTGTTCTATCTGTTAGTTAACCTAGATATTGGCTAAGTTTTTTCTAAAGGGAGTTTCCCTTGGGCTAGTCAAATCACCAATCGAATATCAGATAGTATCTTAGGTTTCTTTGCATTTTTTTAGATTTCGTACCTTATGTTGCTTAATTAAAGTTTTTTCTACGTGCCAAGATATTAATCTTAATACTGTTAATCTGTTTGACTTAATTTGTTTTAGCGCAAAGCCACACACAATGGCAATCTGCTCTTTGACCACTACGGGGAATCGAACCCCGAATTATAAACTTGTAAGTCCCTAAGCTTATTGCTGATCCACTGGGAAATTTATGTTAATAATTTATGTTTATAAAACAATTTAAACAGAAGAGAAAATCAAATGTAACCAAGATGGTGACTTAAGCAACAGCGCTATAAGATTGAGTTACAGGATTAATTTTAAGCAGTAGCAACACTATATTGAGTTTTTGTTTGTGATAGTTAACTCTGAATATCTAAAAACATGATCCAAGAAAAGTGTGTCGCACCACCTAGCGTAGTTACTGGTTTTCACATAACAGCTTATTAAATCTCGTTTGTCAAAGATACATATAGATGGCGCCACACATCCTTTGGATCAGGTTAATTAAGTTTTAGATAGAGGTACTGACGTTCAGAATTATGTCAAATATTTTAAAAATAGGCTTTAGAGAAAATAGAAACGTGAGGTTTGAATATTTATTTAAGTTGAAAAATTGTTCTAATTACTAGCAGTTATTTTCTTCGGTTGACTAAAAAAGTGGTGATTTTTAACTTTTGATTATACTCTTTAGATCTTGGCTGTTTTGGGGGTTCTTGCCGCGGCTGAAGCCGGATACATTGGTGGAGGAGGTGGAGGTGTAGGTGGATTCATTGGTGCTGGAGGGGGAGGTGTAGGAGGAAGCTATGTAAACCTGGTTCCCGTTCAGATTGTAAGTTACACATCATTTTTATTGCTTATTAATTGCGTGTAGTTAATTTAATGAAGACGACAATGAAATATGACTGTTTGAAATCACAATTAAGCAGAAATAAAGTTTAGTATGTAAATGACAACGATAAACGAAGGAGATACGTTTTAACGCTTCGATGATATAAACCTATAAAATACAAATATGATAAATAAAAGCCTTCGTTTCGACTAGCACAAATACAAGAGCCGAAGCATAAAATTAATTTACGAGTATCAAATAATATATTTACTGAACGACTATCCCACTGCAATGTATGATTCACCCTTTTTCATTCCTACAAAAAATAGGGAGCCACTGGCGGCTATGGTCAACAACCAGTGTATCCCTCCATTCCGACACCTTATTCTTTCGGTTACGCCGCTCCTGCTATTGGCGGTTTTAGCGCGCGCCAGGAATCTGGAGATGGATATGGTCGGGTGACAGGATCCTACAAGCTTTCTGATGCAGATGGACGCCAGAGAAAGGTCCAGTACGTTGCTGGTCCAGAAGGATTCAGAGCTCACGTCTACACCAACGAACCTGGTACCAAAAGCGAGAACCCTGCTGACGTTGATTTCCAATCCTCTGCTCCTGTTCCACCTCCTTACTACCCACCCAGGCAACATTCTGGCTATGGTGCCTCTGTTGGATATGGGAATCAAAACCACATTGCTGTACCATCTAGTGGACCTTGGCAGTAATTCGCCTAATTGTTTAACATATTTTGAAGAGCTTATTAGACCAAACTTGTATACCTTGTTGTTTAATGTTCCAATACTTATTTTTTTTCTTCTTCTGCGTTTTTCCTTTCAAATTATCTAGTTTGTAAAATAACACTCTTTTAGAGGTGAGAATCCAAATGTTAATAAAGGTTGTCTTGTATATTGTAAATTTTCTAGAGTCCTAGTTATTGTATAGTAGGGCAACAAAAACAACAACAAACAAATATATTCATTTCCAAATAAATTCGTTTTATTTAAATTAAACTCGAGTAAAAATAAACCAAGAAAAAAAGAATCATAACACTAGTTTAGTCTTAGTGAAATTTCTTCCTTCGGTGGCTCTTAATGCTAAAATCAAGGTACTATCCCTGTAGTGGAGTTGGTGCGATAAGCCTAAATCCGAAATTGTTTTATCTGACACATTCAGAGAATACAGTATTTCACAAAGCACGTGAGCTCATTCCGTCATTTAATTGGTGCAATTTTGATTGGTGAGTGTAAGACATAAAACAATTAATAATAACGATCTTATAACTCTCGAAAGCATTTGTTTTCACTGCCGTACTTCTTCAGACGTATACAGATGATTAAAACAAATCGTAGGACTATTTGTTTGTTGTTAAGCACGAGGCTACAAAACGCAGTTTTCAGCGCTATAAGCATTCAACCTTACCGCTGAGCCACTGGGAGCCCGTGGAACTACTCAAACTTTCGAATATAGGGGGGGAATTTTTTGGAAGAATATGAAAATACTTTCAAAATCATGAAAAAAACAACTAACTGCTAAGACTAATATTTTTAACTTGCTGCTGAGTCCTGTATCGTCTTCTAGGCTGTTGATTTTAACCTCCTTGTGCCAGTTTCTAGTATCAAGCTAATTATACTTCCATAGTAAGAATTTCTATTTCAAACCCACAGCACGAGGTGCTTTTAGTTATGGCAAATCGAAGGGTCTACAGTTCGAGATGCGATACCGCTAAACAGGCTCCGCACTTTCAGTTGTGAATGTGTTATAAATGTGACAGTCACTCCAGTTATTCGGTTAAAAAAAACAGAACAAAACCCTTGTGCCGACGGATTCTGCTAGCTAGCTGATTTTCCTTTAGTTAATAAGTAATTCAAATTCAGGAACGACTATACCCGAGTCCCGTGGGTGCCTGACATGAGTGTTTAGCACAGGTGGCTCGTAAGGAGTCGCATAGGTTGAAAATACAAATTCATTATTACTTTAATAGCGACAAGTGTGTTTATTCAGTATTTCTGGTTTAATCATCATTATTTAGTATTTTAATTAATTTAATTAAAGCTTTGGTAATTATTGGCCAGTGAAGACAAAAAAAAAATTTTAATGCTCAAACTAGATTCGCACACCCCTATTTAGATAATGCAGTGATCTTAGTTTTTCTATTATGAGCCTGTGTAAACTTCTGAAGAAATCAAATCACTAAACGTAGGGTAAGAAGAACAAATGATCTTCGGAGTTACAAAGGCGTTATTATTATTTTTTGGTTGTTTCGGCTTAGTGTCCGATATTTATTTTGACTTGATTTCATATTGTTAATTAACGAACTTACAGAATCGAAACTTTGTCTGTTGTTAAGCTCAAAGCTCTTCTCACCGCTGATCTCGAAATCCAGTTTTTAGCGTTATAAGTCATTATACTTACTGGGAAGTAGTTCTGAATGAAGAGTTAACAGGTGGAGTACATCTGGTAAAGAGTTAATGGGTGGAGTACACTTGTGAAGAGTTAACAAGTGGAGTACATCTGGTAAAGAGTTAATGGGTGGAGTACACTTGTGAAGAGTTAACAAGTGGAGTACATCTGGTAAAGAGTTAATGGGTGGAGTACACTTGT